CTTTTAAAAGTGCCTGTGAGAGGCAGGTTATTGGCTTGCTTTTGCTTATGTTTCATTATGTATTTTGTGTCTTCATTTTGTATTTTTATGTTGTGAACCACCCTGTGATCTTCAGATGAAGTGTGGTATACAAATTTAACAAATAATAATAATAACATGTGAGGAGCCATCACTGAAAAGGCCCTCCCCCAGGCCCCCATACTGTGGACGTCATCCTAAACAGAGATTACCAAGAGGGTTTTGTCTACTGATCTTAAGGCACAGGCAGGTTTGCATGGAAGGCATTTTTTCAGATATTTAATGACACACACACCCCTGCAAGGTTTATTGGGAGAGTGGATACAATAAAATTTGTAAAGTGGCTATATAAATGGAAAGTTGGTGTGCATATGTATGCATGCAGAGAGTGGGGGTATCATAACCACTGCACATGGACTTCTGCTAGCATAATGAAGCTTTCCTACTTTCTGTTTCAGTCCCCAAAGCCACTCCAGGCAGTTAGAAGAGTGACATTAGATGAGGCAAAGCTCAAAGAGGAAATAAGTAAAAGATTAGGGCTCTCCCCTTACTCCCAAGCAGGAGAGTCTTCCACTTAGTCAAAAGCTTCTTTGTATCTACTTCATTGTATAACATTACTACCAGTTGTTATTTTTATGGTATTCATATCTGTTAAACATCAATGTGCTGGTGGGATTGCAGTCTTACATACACCAAACATTACCTGAAATGAATCAACATATCAAAAAGTTATAAGCTCAGCAAAGAAATGTGTTTTTAAAATTCATTATAATAGCTAAATGTCAAATACATTTTATTTTGACTTGCCACTGGAAAAAAAGTCTGCCTCATTTCAAATTACAAAACTAATTGGGGGTGTAAATGGTAAACTACAATAATGGGATTTCCCTCCCCAATAAAATATAAATGAATCAAGGTTCAGATCATTGTCTGAAATCTCTGAAATGTTGACTAAGTTTCCACAGACCTAGAAAGCATTCCTGGGACTAATGTTTTATTTTTCTATATTTTGGGTAGACATGGAAAGACAGAAATGGAGAGGGCCTGAATGTTAAGAGAGATGTGTCTTTTTGTGAACTCAAAGTTTGCTACATATGCCTTCTATGAAAATGTGCAGGCCCCGAAACCCGGCACAAAAATCAAAATGGATTTTACTACGCCTTCAGCAAACAGCGTGGCACAAAAGTCCATTGTGCCATGAGATAACTTTGGAGATGAATGGATTTAGCTGTCATTGAGGTGATTGTTGGGCTAGTTGCTATTGGATCACAGTCTAGGCCTGCATTCCTTTATGGTTCATCAGGGCCTGTTGGTACCACTGAAAGTGTCATGATCCTTCCCCCCTCCCCTCACTAGGGCCAGATGGTGTCCTTTTTGAGGCCTTGCTAAATGCCCAGCTTTCCACATGTAAAACTCCTGGGAAAATGACCTAACGCACAGCTGCTTAGTGAGGCTTGAGCAGGCCTTTAGAAACACTTCTGTCAGGAACAAGAAGAGCATACCACTATCTGGGAAAGGGGGGGGTGGAGGAAAAGGAAGGCGACAACCAGAAACATATCAATTGTAAACTATTTTTCGAGCCAGAAGGGAGAGCCTGAATTAAGATCTTGCAAATGTTACTCTCTCTTTTCTTGGGGAGGGGGGAAATGCCAAGCATCCTGAAAAGGTAACTTAAAAAAGAAGTTAACTGCCAGGGACAAGGGCTATTTTCACAGCAGAAGTTTTACCTTCCTTGAGAGCAGATGGTCTGAATAAGACTCGAATGTGGTGCAGGAGGGTCAGGAAAGGACAAAAAGTGAAAGATTCCCTAGACAGCCACAAGAAGCCTGCAGAGAGGGAGGGGCCAGCGTGTTAAAAGGGGTGAGAGAAAGTGGAAACTTTTGATGTATAAGGGTTGTGTTTACCAATGAGCTGAATTATTCCCAGGAGGCAGGCAGTCCTGCAGGTGCAATACTTAAGAAAAGCCAGAAGCCATCTGATTTTCTTCAGTAGCAAAGTAACGCCAGACCAACAGAGCAGTTAGAAAGTCGCAATAAGCGTGCTGTGATAAGAAAATACCAGCACTGACAGAAGCCTCTGAGTTCTTCAGTCCTACTGGCTGCATAAAACATTAAAGAAATGTTATAACCTACATGATTATGCATGTCACTGTGTTCCTCTATTTTCTTTTCATTTCATTTTGAACTCGTACCATTTTTGCTTTAGGCTGCTGTACCTCCCCTCCCCCTCCCCAGCCTCCCCTTTGTCTTTTTAGCAATAGAGTAGTGGGTCTCCAATGCTTCCTCCCCCCCCCCTTCAGTCCATTAACAAGACAAGTTTAAAAGCAGCCCTTACCAGAAAGATTTGCAGTATTTTCTCCTTCCCTGCCCACCCAGCCAACCTTTATGAACTCTAAAGGCATTTTTTACAGTGGTTTCAATGGAGCCAGTACAAGCAGCTAACTCCCATATAGTCTACTATATTATGGTTTATAACATAAATGAATCAAGGGAGGAGATTCCCTTGGCAATCCCTGGTGTGGCATAGTGGCTAGGAATGAAAACAGTGAACTAGAAAATACTCAATTCAGCTTCAACTGTGCTTTGGCTTCAGCCATGATTTGGCTACGAAAACTTAAGCAAGTTATTTCCCCCACAATCTCAGCCCACTCTTAGCAATACCAGCCTACCTTACTAAGCTGGTGTAAGCTTATCCATTCGTAGACAAACCAACAGAGAGACAGACAGAATAGTGCTTAGCCATAACAATGTGTGTGAATTGCTTCAAAGTGTAACCTATAAATATGATGTATTGCGAACTCCCAGGTCTGTCCAGAGAAGAGAAAGTGCTGGCTGAACCATGCGTAATCCTAAAATGTAATGCACTGGAACAAAATAATACTTACCAAATGAAAATAAAGTCACAGTTTCTGTGCTTCTAATAGCACCCTGAGATTTAAACCATTTCGACCATAAGAATAGGTTCAGAGCCAAAGCTTTAGAGCCAACAACCCTATGAAATGAGGGGAAGTGAAAAGCAGTAAAGCACATGGTCTCCCGAATTCAGCATTTGTCGTTGACAGCCCCCACCCTACCCGCAATCCACTGTGAGCATCTGTGAGCATTTGTCTTTGGTAACTTGCAGATTATTGATTTTATCGTTTGCTTGACATTTCACAGTGCATTGCCTCACTTACAGAAAATGTTCAGTATTTACGCTACAATGGGAACTGTCATAAAGTGAGGTAACATCCCATAAAATCCTAAAAAGGATGCGGGGGGAGGGCATCTTTGGTAAGATGCTGTCCAATTTGGAAGTGCTGTGTTTGTGTTCCAGTTATGCTAGGCTCGGTAATATTCAAAAATAGACATTACAAAAAGAACCAAATAGATTTAGATCTCCCGCTACCAGTTAAAGTACATCGCACTGAAAGTGCTCTGTATAACTGCTTGTGTTCACAGCCAAAAATCCCGCTGTCTCAGGCACACAGGTGGCTTGAAATTCTACCAGACCTAGAATTTGAAGTTGAGTATCAAACGGTATTACTGTCAGTAGGTAAAGGTTTATGCAAGGATGTAGAATCTTTTAGACTCCATGTGCCAGATCCTTACTAAAATCAGTCCGGCAAGTCAAATTAGACAGGTGGGACACATCATCTACCTGATAATCACCTGGTGCCACAATGAATGCTGGGTGCAAGGTGCTCTGAAGTTCTGAAGCTGGGACCTCAAAACACCTTGCAAGGCTCTGTTAAAATGGGTCTTTCCCCTTCGTTTTAGCAAGGGATTCCTATGCAAACACCTTCCTGAATCAGGAGCAGGATTTAACCCCTTCAGCCAACAGCTGACAGGGTGAAATCATGCTGCCTTGGCTGTGCACCCCTGTTCCCTGCTGGGAATAGGTGTGTGCAGCCAACAGAGGTTTTAAGCCTGCCTTTCCATCCATAAGACGATGTCACAGGTGATGTCAGTTGAGCATGGTTTAAGAAGAATGGCTTCATTGGCTAACTTGGACCCCACCCACCAGATACCAAGACTGAGCCAAAGGATACATCATATGTTTTGGCTGCAGTGTAAGGTTCTCAGAAAGGTGGGACTACTGGCTGACAAAGGAATCAGGGATTGGGGCTTCCAGTGCAAACCAGTGTGATAGATAGTACCGAAGGGCCTTAAACTACTCACTCCCCTTCTAAAATCCATAACTAAGGGTTCATCCACACTTCCATTTATCCCATGCCTTCTAGGCACAGGTCCAAGATGTTTTGCCTTTGCCCTCCCCCAGAAAATCTGCTCTTTAACAGTAAACTGGAATGGTAATCTACAGAAAACCCATTTGTTCCGATTCAGCGCTGAAACGTAGGTTTTCCTGGGGAAAAGCTGGGGTGGGGGTGGGGAAGGAAGTCTGGATGAGTCCCAAGTAACTGCAGACGGCATTAAAGGTAAAGGTAAAGGTACCCCTGCCCGTACGGGCCAGTCGTGTCCGACTCTAGGGTTGTGCGCCCATCTCACTTAAGAGGCCAGGGGCCAGTGCTGTCTGGAGACACTTCCGGGTCACGTGGCCAGCATGAAAAGCTGCATCTGGCAGACGGAATGCCGTTTACCTTCCCGCTAGAAAGTGGTCCCTATTTATCTACTTGCACCCGGGGGTGCTTTCGAACTGCTAGGTTGGCAGGCGATGGGACCGAAGCAACGGGAGCGCACCCAGCCGCGGGGATTCGAACCGCCGACCTGACGATCGGCAAGTCCTAGGCGCTGAGGGTTTACCCACACCTGCGTCCCAGGCAGACAGCCTTAAAGGGAGTCAAATAACACAGAAACCACTGAGGAACGTGATGTTAGATGGAGATATCCTATGCTTGAGTTGTTTTATTTCGCTATTATATATATGCATATATAAATTCCACAGCAGAAGTTCAGAAACTTTGAAAGTTTAGTCAGACATTTATTTATTTATTTAAAGTTCTTTAATCACTAAGATATCCCCCCCCCCCCCGAGAACAGGGCTCCAGGGCTTTGCATATATTTAAGAGCTGTTTCTTGTAACAGAAGGTGCTGATTAGAGATAACCAGTGTTTCTCCTGCTGAGTTGGTCAGATGCTGTCAGCCTTTTCCATAGAGCTACCCTTCTGTCTCCTTCCTTTCATGGACAGAGTAACATTTTGTACTGACACAAAGAAATTCTTCCTTCCCTTGATCACGAAGACACACACAAAACTAGAGCCTCCTCTTTAACATTTGCTGTTTTTCTTAAACTTTCTTCTTGTCGTCTGTGAATCTCTCATGCTAGGTACACTAGTCATAATGTGGCCAAAGTTAAGCACATTTATACTGCAAAGAGAAACTTTCCAGCGCTGTGCTATAGTGGATGTGTTACAAAAATTAGACATGTGTTTCTGTGTGTTGTGGGTGGTGGAAATATTCTTCAAATAGCTGGGCATTGCTCTGGGAGAGTGATTCTGTCACCTCAACCTATTTTCTACCTTAATAAACTAGTTCCATGTTTTGCTGTTAATTTGACTCTAACAAAAAACATAATTGAAAGGGTACTGAACTTTGGCAAACCGTAGACATGCTGTCTTCGTACATGTTTGCCCCATAAAATGACAATGTCAATAACAAAAACCAAACTGCCCTTTACCGAGGCTGCTCTTTATGGGGGTCCTTTCTGATATTTTACAATCATGCCATGGATTGTGTGTATACACGTGTGCATGCCAGAGTCTGTATTTTCTACTGGTGGTAATATCTCCACCAACAACCACTGAGCATATGACTGAGATTTGGCTGATCTTCTCATGAACTTAAAACAGTCTACAAACAGAGATAATCTTGCCAGATAATCAGCTCCCAAACTTCAGATCATCAAATATATGTGCAACATAACCTTTTATGTGAAATTATTTGCCCTCTGCTGCGTGAGAAGCATAAAGCACAACAGCAATATAGGACTGAGATCTGGTTCAAACTAGAGTATCTTGAGGCTGAGTGTTACCTGTATTGCAGGTATAGTTTCAACAGATTGGAATCCACCCATAAAAAGCATTTTTTATAACCTGTCTTGTATTCACAACAATGAAGTGGTGGAATTTGTCCTAGATTATTCCACATCAGGCTGCAGGTAGAGGAATCGTGTTTGGGCACTCTAAAACCTTTCTTCTGGCATGCTATTTTATTATGGAGAGTGAGATTCTTTCCCCCCCTGGCACATCCAGACAGGCAACTCACTCACCCCTCCCTGCAGTTTGTGATGTTAAGGTTCAGAAAAAAGCCTTATCAGTTGAATTTGCCGGATGTATAAATTGGTCTTACATAATTTATACATCAATCGAAATGCAGGGATCCTGTTCAGGTATATGCAAGTACAGGATTGGCTTGGGATTTCATAATGTGTTGCTCACATATTTCCATTGAATCAAATTGTTTATCCTTCCTTCCTTCCTTCCTTCCTTCCTTCCTTCCTTCCTTCCTTCCTTCCTTCCTTCCTTCTCTCTCTCTCTCTCTCTCTCTCTCTCTCTCTCTCTTCCTTTCTCATTTCCTGGCTAGATTGCGTTTGGTCTCTGTGTGTAAACACTGTGTAACTGCTGCCTTCTTCCCAGGCTTTTTAATGAGACTGTGCCGTCTGATCAGGTGCATGCACTCCACTGTCATTTGCAGCCTGACCTGCGGGTCAGAGGTGATTTGGGCAGGCTCAGGGATGCATACAAATCACATCCTCTTGTCTGTCTGTTTTGTTGACTGGTTCTCCTCAGGGTCACGGCTAGCTTAAGTAGCAGCCTGAAGGATAAAGTGTGCCCTGTCTGAGCTGTAAAACTTTGACTTTGGACCAATTGCATCTGACATACAGCAGCATGAGGTTTGGCTTAGCCTTTGGATTCAGAACAAATCACTGACCACCAATAGCTGATAGTGACATGCAGTTTACGGAATGTCTCCTTTTCTCTGGCAGCCATGTATTTTTCAGCAGCAAGGAACGTGCTTGGAGGTTTCAGCCACTGGGGTGTCATTGGGGTGTCGCAAGCATTTCTGACAAACTGCTTCGAAGAAGGGGGAACAGTCACTAAAGAGGTAGGGCATGATCCTGTTGTGGAGGTGGTGGGGTGACTAACAAAATCAATCCTCTTGGCAAACTGGGAATATCTACTCACTCACCCAAAGTTTAGGATATTCCACCATTCTTCAGCAGAGTTTCTTTTTCTTTGAGAAAAATAAGGGGCTCATGTAAAAACTCAGCTATAATAATAACGTAGCAAAATAACATAATGAGAGAAACTAAATACAACAACATGAGGCAAGTAACAAGAAGAGGCAGTTGGTCCCTCTTAACTGACATCCTTAATGGAACACACACTGAAGGGAGGGGCTGATTCCGGAGCAAAACACACAAGCCCCGCCCACCAGATACCAAGCACTCTACTATTCAAATTAGGCCCCAGTGTTTTTCTTACAGATCCAGCCTAAGGTAAGTGCTTTATTCTCGCTGATTTGAACGGCAGAAAGTTAAGCATATGCCTTAACTCTGCATTTGAGACCAGTGGGACTTAATCATGCTGGATTTTGACTGGATTGTGCTCATCTTCAGCAGGCAGAAAGTAACCATTTGGGTTTTTGTGTTGGCTTTTAAGAGTGCTGCATAGTATAAGAGGGAGGCAATCTATTGCTTCATTTTTTGCTTTTGAAAGAAAATGGACTAAAACCCCAATTTTTTTCCTGTGTGAAAGAGAATATTTTAAGTTTCAATTGCTTTTCAAAATGAGATAGTGAAAAGGAAATAGGAGCCTGACTGCTTCTATATAACTTTTAATCCAGGCTGGGTTCCTCAGTGTGAACAATTTATCAAACTCAGAAGAGCACAGATTGTTTTGCCTGATGGAATGTACTTCCATGTACTATGTTTAGGATCAGGTTAAAAGGCTATTGTCCTCAACACACATTTACTTGCATCAAATACTTGGTATACTCCAGAACTCAGGGCAAGGAAACAAGCTGGGAGATGGCTTGGATACAAGTGGAGGAAAATGCCAATCAAACACTGGTGAATGCTCATTATCAAGCCTATTCAATGGCAATGAAGGCAGCAAAGAATGCATACTTTGCAGTCTCCATTGCATCATAACTGTGCCTTCCAGCAAAGCTTTTCTGGATATACAGGGCCTTTTAGGGCCTTTTAGTCTGGCCCAAAGGAGGTGGTAGTACTGACGGTAGCTCACTGACTTGTTTGCAAAGCATTTTGAGGATGAAATCACTTGAATCTGCCAGAACTCAGTTGTTACAGTGGATGAATCTCAAGAGGTGTCAAGAACACTGTCTAGTTCTGTTATGCGGGATGAGTTTCAGTTAGTAAGGCTTGAAGCCATGAAGAAGGTACTTGGTTCAGTCTGGGTGACCATCTGCACCCATGCCCCTTGTAGGGAGATAGCTGGCTGGGCTAGGGAGGTGATTAACTCCTCCTTGCTAGAGGAAGTGGTCCTTGCTTGCTTAAAGGAGGCAATGATAAGGCCAGTCCTTAAGAAATCCTCCCTGGGTTCAGAAAATCAAAGTAATTACCATCCAGTCTTAAACAGCCCCTTCTTGGGAAAGGTTCTTGAGAGAGTGGTCATGGGCCAGATCCAGGCTTCCCTAAACAAACCCTATTTTCTAAATCCATTTAGGCCTGGTTTGGGCGTGGAAACTGCTTTGGTTTCCCTGTGTGATGACCCCTGTCAGGAGAGAGATGGGGGGGAGATGTGTCCCTGTTAATTCTCCTTGATCTCTCAAGGGCTTTTGATACCATCAATCATGGTATACTTCTAGAGCAGTTGTCTGAGTTAGGGTGGGTGGCACCACCTTCAAGTGGTTCTAATCCTACTTGGATGGTCACTTTCAGAAGACGGTGCTTGGGGAGTTTCATTTGGCCCTGTGGAACCTTCAATGTGGGACTCCACAGTGTTTTATTTTATCACCCATGCTGTTTAACATCTACATGAAACCACTGAGTTTTGGAGCATGTTGTCAGCAATATGCTGGTGACACACAGTTCCACCTCTCCTTTACAGCTGCAGTTGTGGCAGTGGATGTACTGGACTGATGTCTTACTTCTGGACTGGACTGGTGGAGAGCCAACAAACTGAAGCTCAATCCAGATGAGGCTGAGGCACTGTTAACTGGTGGTTCCCTAGACCTGATGGGTGAGCAGCGGCCCGCTCTTGACAGAGTTACACTCCCTCTAAAGGACTGGGTACACAGCTTGGGGTTACTTCTAGATCCCTCACTGTCACTTGAGGCTCAGGTGGCCTCAGTGGCACAGAGTACCTTCCATCAGCTTCAGCTGGTGGCCCAGCAACACCCCTATATGGACAGGGATTGCCTAACTTCTAGGTTAGCTTGCGACAATACATTATACATGGAGCTGCCTTTGCAAACAGTTTGGAAACTGCAGCTGGTACCCGAGGAGGGGACCCGAAACAGTTTCTTAGAAGCATGACAGGTGCTGCGGCAGTAGTTTATATTGTGTTTGCACTTGTGTGCGTGTGTGAAATAAACACCTGCTCTCTAGTAAATGAACTGTAACAGTCAAACTACTAAGGCCACCGAGCAGGAGTTAAAAAGTTACAATGTGCAGTTAGCCTGTTTCAACCCAGTGATCTGGAAGGGAAATGCTCTGTCTCAATCCCACGAGCCTGCCAGTTTAGTAACACTCGCCTTATTTGAAACCTGCTCCAAGAGTCAATAGCTGTCCTTGTGCCTCCAAAATTACAGTTTAATAAAGCTTAGAAAGGTAGGTGGCATCCGTCTCCCTAATATGCACTAGTTCTTTTCTAAATGGGTGTTGAACTGAACACAAGCTGGAATACCTGCTCTGTTCCTAATTACTGCGTATCTGTTAAGAGATTTGATGGATCACTTTTTGTCAAAATGTGCCTGTCATGTCTTCATCTGAGTTATCGCAGCCCTATTTAAAGGTAGGTTTCTTCGGCAGGTTGTTATTGATAAACAAATTGACTTTGTGTAGTATTTTGACAGACTGGAAATGAAACATAAATGCTCCCATAAAAATCAAAAGAACTCAGATGCCAATTGCCAAGACCTCCGTCACGCTGCGCACATGTTTTCATGTGCCATTTTCCCTTGGACTCGCAAACATCTCACCTGATGGATAAGAGAAGGCTGCTTTCTCATTTCAGATGGCAGGAAATTGAATCATTTAGATCACACTATTGAAAGCAAATATTTACTTCTAACTAATATGGTAAAAGACACAACAAATGCTTTAAAAACAACCCCAGGCAGTATATAGCTAGCCAACAAAAACCAATTAAAAGTTTTAACATACTGCAAAAACGTTCCATTTATATGTTCCCTGTGTGACTCTCCTGTATGGATTTGGTCTGTAACCTTGGAGCAGTGGTAGACTTTGGGCTTTCAAATTTCAGCAGCACCCCGTGCTATCCTAAAATTCAGCATGTGCCCTGCCTCTCACACTCTGTGCAGAGAGTTGTCGTGGCACTCTCTACAGTGTGGCTACACCGGCTGCACAACCCCAAAAACCGCCTCTGCCTTGGAATCTGGCTGTTTATCACTTTGAACCTAGGAGGTCCAAGGTCTTGATGGAGGCCTCTACATAGCAAAGGTACACTGTCCTTTTTTGATCTAGGGAGACCTAAATGGATCCCACTCCATTATCCCTGCAGGCTATAGTATAATACGGTAGCAGATCGCATTGTGGGGCTACGCCGCTCACCTGACCTCCATCCAGCTGAGCCACCACAGCATACTGGGATGGAGAGGAGGAGGGATGCAGCAAGGCTGGCAGCAAAAAGCCCCCCCCTTTTTTTTTTTTAATTCTCCTTTAACTCTTGCTAAATGATTCCTGCATTGCAGGGTCTTGATGACCCTTTGGGTCCTTTCCAACTCGACAATTCTGTTAATGTGTAGGGGCAAAATACATGGATGCCATGAAACACAATCCCACCCCCTTCCATACATTCATTTGACACAAGGAAAAGGTCTGAAAATGCCTTGGAAGTCTCAATGTTAGGTGACATTTAGGTGTACATGGCAGATGGTATAAATTAAGGTTACCAGATGTCCCCATTTCCCAGGGACAGTCCCCGGATTTACAAACCAGTCCCCATACTAAATCCATTGAAATTGAAAAGTGTCTCCGGATTTATTGAAAAAAAATCTGGTAACCTTAGTATAAATTAGACACATGTGTAGGCCCCATTTTTGCCCAAGGTACAGTCCTGGAAGATGTTTGGCTCCCTCTGTACCTTTTATAGCTGCACCAAAAGGTCCTCAGCATTCTGAAAGTCTGGAAATTCAATGTCATTGTAAAGAGTTGCTGCTATTGATTCTGAAATGATGGGCAGGAGAATTGATTACGCAGCTCTTTTCCCAGTAAACTCCTGGAATGGGCGGTGATTGTTTAGCGTGAGGGGTAGGGTGAAAAAGCCATGATCCCTAACTATCACATAGACACTGCCAAAAAAAATTCAGCCTTGATTGACAGCTAACTGCACGACTCAGCTGAGCTTAGCCTGAAATCTTGGCTTATAATTACTGAGTTGAGCATTTTGAGAAATGGGCAAGATAAAGTGTTTCACAGAGGCCATGTGAATCTGCTTACGCTACTGCTTGCCTTGAGCATCTCTAATAAGAATTGATGCCATGTGTCATTTGTAATTTAATCAACAGCATCACATCTTGATCCTCAAATGGGCATCCCAAACATTTTCTTGCTGCCAAGTGAAAGATTAACGCGCACAGCAGATCTGCATAACTGTAGGACAAACTGAGAAATAGGAGAAGCGGAAAGTTACAGAGAACCCGACAGTAACCAACTTGCTACTTTATTCATAGCACTTCGCAGCTTGCATCTCTTCAGCATCTTCCTACAAGTTAAGCTATTGAGGAGTGAGCTATTGCTGGGTGCCAGAAAATACAATTCCCTACCCGCCTTCTTCAGCCACTATTAGATCTTACTCATGGCTTGTATTTTGCTGGTGGGTTCTAATCAACATTTAAAATACAACCCTCATAGCCACCTCTGCAACTCTGTAGCAAGACCTTCCAAAAATAAAATCCTTTTATATCTTTCTTATTCGATTGATAACAATGCTCTAAAAAATTGTGTGCCATATTTCTTCTGTTTCACAGAGCCTTTTTTATGTTTCAATATGCACATGCCAGGAATGTTTCCTCCTTAGTTGAAATGAAAGAAGCCTCATTCCAGGCACACTATGTGTGATGGATGGCCCAGAGACCAGTGAGGAAAGCTCAGTTCCCATAGATTTCATAAGATGGGGCAGAGGCTGAAGACTTTAAACAGCTTCAGCCTCAAGGGTTCAGGGCCATATTACCCTGTGAGCTTCCCATCCACCCTTAACTTAAGAGCATTCACTGAAATATTTGGGCTGCTGCTTGACTGGGCTGGAAATGTGGGCCCTTAGTGGGGGTTATTTTAGCTCAGTGAAATTAAGGCTTGCTTCTGTTAGGCATTTGACAATATTTGTACGTATGGGGGCAGAAATGGCATTGGGCAGGATCAACATAATAAAGGGAGCTGCATAAGGGTCCTGGGGGGGGATTGACTATTGCATGCCCTAAGCTTAGGATGAGGCCCCTGCCTGGCTGGGATCCTCACCAGAGTCACCCAGTGAGATCCTGGATACTTGGCTTGCACCATGACTGGGTTCAGTGCTGAATGACTTCCATGAAGGGGGCTTGGCTGCTTCCCAACCCCAACAGTATATAGAGGTGGGTGGAATGAGTAACTGATCCCTGCCAACCCTGCCTTGCCTACTGCAGTCAATGAATATTTGGCTTGGATTTTACACAACAACCAATGGCCTGTTCCTGTTATTTCTCTGCACTTATGAACCCATGGCATCTACCAGGGCAAGCAGTCTGTATGCACACTTTTTTAGAGACACAGAACAGAAAGTAATACTAAAGGCTTGGGAGGTCCACACGGACATCAGAACTCCTATAAGCCCCCAAAATACTTTTCCTTCATTGGGTGCACTTTGACATATCAAATGCAGTTATCACATCAAATGAATTTTTGAAACTTTCTTTTTACTCACTCTGAAATCTCATTCAAAGGAGTCTAGGGTTGCCATATTTTGAAGAGCATAACAGAGGACGCTATGATGGCCATTCAAAGCAAATAAATGCAATTTGTCTCAATTTTTACCCCTGAAAAAGAGGACATGTCCTGAAAAAAGAGGACACATTGCAACCCTAGGATGTGCACCATTTTCAGTGATTGATTGCATTTATACCCCACCTGTCAGTCATGGAGCTCATCGTTGGATACCTAAGCTTCAATTCTTTTCATTATTTAAGGTATTTCTGCTTTTCAGGTGGTCCTCTGAAAATATTGATACAGATTACAAAAGATTGTTACAGCAAGCATCAATGCAAAAAAGAATTGTTACAATGGAATTGAAAAAACTGTTTTTGTTTAACTTCTTCTCCCTTTCCCTCATGGCAGGATGGTCCAACACTGCTCCCACAAAGGTAGAGATAGTTACCAACCTGGATAGAGGAATAGAGATAGTCATGGAGAACATGGCTACTATCCATGATGGTTATGTTCTTCCTTCACTGTTGGAGTTGTCTGATTCTGAATACTAGTAGCTGGGAATCACATGCAGGGTGAGTGTTGTTGCACTCAGGTCCTGTTTGTGGGCTTCCCGTGGGCATCTTGTTGGCCACTCTGAGAACAGGATGCGGGACGAGATGTTACATTCTTATGTACAGTCATACCTCGGGTTGAATATGCTTCAGGTTGAGCGTTTTCAGGTTACGCTCTGCGACAACCCTGAAGTAACGGAACGCATTACTTCCGGGTTTCACCGCTCATGCATGCGCAGACACTCAAAATGACGTCATGCGCATGCGCGGAAGCGGTGAATCACGACCCGCGCATGTGCAGATGCGCACGAACGGATCCTGTTCGAATCCAGAAGTACCACTGTACTTAAAAAGCTCCTCTGCTATTTTTTCTGTTAGACTTTCCACCACAGCCGCTGCTCTGAAAGGCACAACCACAACATGACGGCTGCCACTGCCAAACTCTCTCTTGCTGGCACCAACATCAAAAATAATATTATGTGATAAGAGCTCCATGTTGGTAATGATGCTGTGTTAGTCACATGAGCCAAGAGAGCAGGCAGTGTGTGTAATGGTGCAATTACACACTGATGTTAAACCATTTCCATTGTGGGTCACCAAATCTAATTATAAATAAACACAAAGGAGCGTTTTGAGAAAAGAGACTTTTACAATGCAAAAGTTCTAATTTTTGTAAATGGTGAAAACGGATAAATGTTTTCAACAGAGCCCTAGCTCACTGGATAAGGACAATGATAGAAAATATTTTTGCCATGAAGAAGGTGTGGGTTTTTTAGCATGAACATCGTAACTGTACACCAGGAGCTGCTCTTTTGAGTCAGTTGAAGTCATTTTTTCCCTGAAAGCACATGGAAGAAGCCTGATGTAGAGCAAGAATAATGGTTACATTTTCTTCCTCCTTCCCAATCATAGATGCCAGTTAGCAGGGGGACTTCAGTGTAATATTATTACAACATTTTTTACAGTCTGAGTTATAATTGAAATTTGTTATGTATGAGGATAACTAAAACTCGATCATTTCACACTCTTCGGTCCAAGCCTCAGGATATTTTGGGGGTAAATAGATTGCTTGGAAACAGCTAGTGACTACAGCTAAAATTACATTTTACCAAGTGAGCGGAATGGCTTTTTAATTACAGCACTGATGTCCGCATGCTGTCACCACCGTCTAATACTGAGATGGTATTGATTTGATTTTTAACTTTGATGCACCAAGAAGGGGGAGTGAATGCAGAGTAGGATATTTTTCCACCTTGAAATCCTATTTCCAAAGTAAATAAAGAATATAAATATTAACCTTAAGGAGTTTCTCCTTGACTACATGCCTTAGAATTTGTTTATATCCTAGTCTCTCTTTTTTTTTGCAAGTGCATGCATTCATGTAATCACTATCCCTTTGTAATAAGTCTCAAATGAGACGTTTTAAGCAAATGGGTAGCTGAAATAAGTAACTCCACAGCATTTGCAGATCTCAATCCTATCATTTTCATATACACACAGTGTCTGACCCAAAGCTATGTATTTGCTTCAGCCAGTGTATACAGCATGCAAGTTGGCATCCTCATTCCCTTGGATGAATGTGCACACACATCACTTTACAGATGTGCCAGCTGGTGGGTGGGATCACTCCATGCGCACATCAGAGTGTTCTCTCTCGCACACATGCAGACACACACCACTGCATCACAGCAAATTGCTTCCTCTGCCAAAGGAAAGTAGGTCAAACTCCATCCCAAGCTGCCTTTGGTTCATTTGAGGAAGTGTGGCTGTTGAGGCAGTAATGTGGATTTTGATCAACTTCTCTGATCTAGCACCAGATAGATTGGGTAGCAGACCTTTGTGTATACTATAAAGATATAAAAACAGAGTAGGATTTCACATAAAGTATGTAAATTGTAGTGCCGTATTTCAGTATCATTGCGTGCCTTCCCTTTTCTAAAGTACTGAGAGCTGGGGTGAGCTTTTTTCTGTTCCTTGTACCATTCTGCCATCACAAGCTGTGATGGAACAGAGGCTACATTTCCAGCCAAGCCTCTTAAGTGAGTCTCTTTATGAGAATTATAAATAGATGAAATGACTTTCCTCATTGGCTTTAGAATCCGCCCCCCCCCCCCGTCATCTCTCTTTCTGCCACTTCACATCTGAAGAGCAGTTCAATTTTATCAAATGCAGGACAGTAACTACAATGTGGGAACTGAAAAGGTATGATCCTGACTGTAGGATAGTATTGAAGGTATGCATTTGTCACTAGGTTACCAGTGTCTGATTCATCAGAAAACCTCTGTGGAGGTATGTGATCTGATGCCACTTTGTGGGAGCTTGCCTTCCATGTGCAGTTCCTCAAAGGGTTTGTGACTGTACAGTTTTTGAAAACTGAGGAAAGGGACCAAAGAGCCTGGACTTGGTGGGGGGAAGGGGAAGCAGAGCTCACAAAAAGTTGGGATGTCTCAGCTATTGCTCATGGGCCAATAATTCAAAAAAAACCTGGCATACATCTTGGGTAAATTTGACTTTGTGGCCAAAGGCAAAACACTAAACCTACACTGCACTTCAATTCCTTCAGACATAAAAATGGAGATCACACCTCTTTCTCTCACAGAAGTCTTGTGAAAATAAAATCAATCATTGTGAGGCTCTCAGGGATTTGGTGATGAGTCATGCAAGTGTCTAGAAGGATTAATGAATTAATTCGTTGCTATTTAGTGGGCAAGTTAAGAAATGAGCCCCCTTGAAACTCCGTTCTGACCTTCGCTAATGCATCTTGAGCTTTTTTGAAGATTGTTCCACTTTTTTGTGTGGTATTGTGCTAGGAGACTAACCCTAAGCTTCGAAACTACGTATCCATGCACAAAGCTCGGGCAAACAGGAACTATACTTTGCCAAGTACCTAGGGAGCAGACCCCATTATATACCACTGAAATATATGCATTCACTGCTGTGGGAAGGGCACTGAGGACCCGTTTCATGACACTGAATGGATCCCAATTGAGCAGGAGGAGCTGGTCTAACTTTGCCTAAGACTCAGTGAAGACGACAGTGAGGGTCAAACAATACTTTGCATAGCTTGCATATTGATGTAGCGCTTGCACTAGAAATAAAATACTGGGGCTGTCACAGAAAGGCCAACTTGCATGTTGTGCTGAGCATGTCAAAAGAACATTTATTTCAAGTGATCACAGTGTTCTAGCAATGTGTGTTCTGGCTCAGGGTGGCACTATCTCCCCAGCACCATGAGTGCACAGAGATATGAACTGTCGATTCAGGATTCCTATCATAGGCCCTAGCTAGAAGAACAGTTTCAGCATTCGAGTA